TATTTGTTCTTTATCACTGCATTCTCTCATCTGAAGCCTCTGATCACAATTCCCCTGGCAACTAGGGCTAGTATGAATTTAATCTAGTGATTTATCATACCTCTTTCCGTTCCACTACAAGATGTTAAGCATTGTTTAGCGTTCATATCCAAGTGCCTTGCTGCTCCTTTGTTTCTCCTTTTTTTAGAATCGTGCTCTGAGGGCACAGCTACGGAACTTCTGACGTCAGGAACGAACTTTAAGTGCGCGTTTTCTCAGTCATAGTTCACACCAAGCGCTCTACAAGTCTACTTTATAACAACTATAAACTTAAAATTTTTTATTGCATAAATACATAGCGCGACCGAAATTCTAACACAATTATGCCGAGATTGGATCTGGTGTGTAACGTGTACGCGATGCCACTTTTGAAAATATTTTGAAGACTGTACTCAGTATAATGCTAGAGCATAAACCTAATCATTAACACTCCAAAAAATCTGCACGAACGTACTGTTATTCGACCCTACTCGGGAAGCATACTGTTGCAATTTGTAGATCATGCCTGTAAAAATAGCATATACCTGCCCTTACAGAAATACGTTATTAACATTGCCCAACGGGGCATCGGCCTCGTGACTTCTAAAGAAACTCGGCTTTCACCATGAGGCCGCATCAACTATGCAATTATACGGAACAGTCTTTCCTCCGAAACGCTCGTGGCAGATGAATTACGTACGTTTGTAAAACTGCTTGATCAAGCTCTCACTTGCACTGATCTAACACGCACGAACACATCTGCGCCCCACTCAGACATCATAGGCTCTCTACATGTCTAGACCAAAATGGACTTCAAGTTCCGTTTGCTTTATTTTTCCTACTTTGCAGTTGTATTATTTACTTTTTCAACTCCGCCTAGAGCCCCTCCAGGGGCTACTGCCAGTCCAAATCCCGTATAAAGGAGGAGGGTTGGGCATAGAGTTAGCGACCCCATCCTATAGAAAACTAACTCGCTAAAAAAACGTTAACCAGAAAAAAATATTCGAACCATTTAAAATTTGCCCTGGGAGTCAGAAAGTCTTCATTTAGAAGAGTTATGACGCCTCAGCAGCAGTTGGTCTCAATATACACAAAAAGAAAAAAACGATTCTCCGGTACAACACAGCATGCACCAATCCAATCACAATTGACAGAGAAGATTTGGCCAATGTAAACACCTTTACATACTTGAGCAGCATCATTGATGAACACGGTGGATCTGATGCGGATGTGGAGGCGCGGATCGACAAAGCAAGAGCAGCATATTTACAACTGAGGAACATCTGGAACTCAAAGCAACTGTCAACCAACACCAAAATCAGGATTTTCAATACAAATGTCAAGACAGTTCTACTATGTGGGGCAGAAACCTGGAGAACTACGAAAGCCATCATCCAGAAAATACAGGTGTTCATTAACAGTTGTCTACGTAAAATACTTCGGATCCGTTGGCCGGACACTATCAGCAACAAACTACTATGGGCGAGAACAAACTAGATCCCAGTGGAGGAGGAAATCACGAAGAAGCGCTGGAAGTGGATAAGACACACACATTGAGGAAAGCACCCAACTGCGTCACAATACAAGCCCTCACTTAGAATCCTCAAGGCCGAAGGAAAAGAGAAATACCAAAGAACACATTACGCCGGGAAATGGAGATAGACATGAGAAAAATGAACAGGGATTGGATGGAACTAGAAAAGAAGGCCCAGGGACAGAGTGGGTTGGAGAATACTGGTTGGCGGCCTATGTTCCGTTGGGAGTAACAGGCGTAAGTAAGTAAGTAAGTAAGTAGTTACTTTTTCCACCTATTTCTTCACTTGAAGTAGACAGGTAACTCACTGGACCTATCGACACCGTTCAACTAAGCTCGGTCGCTAAGGGACACTCACTACCACATTGAAAAGTCAAGAGGACCGCACGATCGACTGCCTCATACCAGTGGTCTTGCATCTATGGGACCTGTTACCCATCAACTGGTTAGGACAACACAAAATAACATCAGCACCAAGTTAGTGTGAATTTCTTGCCGTTTATTCTTTATTACCTTTTTACTCTTCTGTACACTATGTTGACTAGCATCGGATGGACAAAAAAATTAGGCAATAAAAGATATAGTCATTAGTATTCTTACCACTTCACCCTCTATATGCACACTCCCTTCTAATAAACCTCCTTCCTTGTACCAGCCTTGACTTCCCTTCCTTCACGTGAGCTTACTCCAACTTGTTAAACATCACAACTCATTTTTCTTTATTACTACATTCTCTTATATGGAGCCTCTGACTTCATTTCACTCTAACAAGAGATAATATGAATTTATTCTAATTCATTATACCTCTGTCCGTTCTACTACGCAGTGTTAAGCAACGTTGTGCGTTCATATTCAAGTGCCTTGCTGCTCTTCTGTTTCTCTTTTTTTCTTCAGAACTTTGCTCTGAGGGCATAGTTATGAAACTTCTGACGTCTGGTACAATCTTGACGTGCGCGTCTCCTCAAGGTTACGGCTTGCAGAAAGCGCCCTATGAGTATATCTTATAACAACAATAAACTCAATAAATTGGGAAGCATTTTGTGAACCAACATGTGTTGTAATTTATAGATCACGCCTGTAAGAATGGCGTGTACCTGCTCATACAGAAATATACTATTATTAATTCTTCTTTCAACTCGGAGGGGAATGGTTAACCGGTTTTATTTATTTATCCTGGTTAGCACATTTTTCAGAAAAGTTGTTTTTCATGGGATGGGAGTGCTGATGCGATGCCAAACTTTCCCTATTCACCCGGGCTTCGGACCGTCAGTCACCATGTGGAGTTACCTTTATCTTAAGTTAAGTTTATTGATGAAACGAGTCGATGATTTGTTAGGGTGAGGAGGAATATAATATATATGATACTCCATGATCACATCCAATCAACTCCTCATGATCTGAACAAGTTCCACGTTCTCGAGGACAATCTGCATTAAAGTGCATCCATATTCTCGTACCGATCGTTTTATAATTTTAACGCTTGAGTACACTAACAGAAATAAAAAATTAGGCAACTCTAGTTACCAAAATCAGATACTTCGTTACTTCCTTCAAATATTATTATGATCCACCGAACTACAGACCTGTCAGCCTCACCAGTGTTGTAGTTAAATTACTGGAAAAAATAGTCAAAAAGACCATAATGACATTTGTGGAAACCAACAAATTATTAAACAACGAACATATTTTCAGAAAAAGTTTATCTTGTACAAAAAACCTCCTTATAGCAAGGGAGAAATGGACAAGGGTTCTAGACAACGGAAGTCAGTGGATGTTTTCTTTACAGACTTTAGTAAAGCATTTGACAAGGTGCCAGCACATAGACTGCTATGGAAGCTAGAAACCCTTGGTATTGCCGGACCTCCACTAAAATGTCTTAGAGATTTCCTAGTAGATCGTAGACAGGAATAAATAATAAATTCGAAGTGCGCCACCTGGAGACCAGTATTTAATAGAATGCCTCAAGGTTTTGTCATAGGTTCTTTATATTTTATACTGTATGTAAATGATCTCCCAAGTATAGTAGAGTGCCCAATGTTGCTATAAGCTGACGATGTAAAAATCTGACATTAAATAAGATGCAAATGCATACGCGCTTCAGGCGGATTTAAATATTGCGATTAACTGGTCCAAGGAGTGGCCGATGCCCATCAACACGGCAAAGTGTGTCTACATACCCTATGTGCTATAAGACGGACATTCGCCAAGTTAAATACTACCATGTTCACCACAGTATACACAACCTTAGGCCGCAAGCTCCTGTTTAAAAGGTGACTCGGATATACTGAAAAAATACAGGGGGTAGCTACCCGTGCAATTGCGGAACTCTAGGGTTTTAAAAGCTAGACCTCTTTACTCTGTCCTATCGCAGTGAGGATGTCACAGGTATTTGGAGTTTGACAACGCTTTAACCAGTAACACCTACTACGAATCGTACCCACCAAGTGAAATCAAAAGACAGAAGCAAGGAGGTTGGAAGATATATTTGATAGGCTGTCAACATATCGAGGATCGACTGATCTAATCTGGCTAGCGATTGCAAGGGATGTTGAGCGCGGCGTTCCCACTCGTGATCTGGTGAGGATGCATGACCGAGCGCCCCCAGTTAGGTGAATCCATTAAAACTAATAAGGTTTGCATCCAATGTCGAAGACTTACAGTGCTATATATTTTGGGGATTTACTTACCACTACAGCATATTAAGAGGTGATCTGATTCTGGTATGTAGAATACTAAGGAATGATTTTTGACCTAACATATTCTCTCTTTTTCTTCTCAACAGATCGGAACTTCTCAGAGGACATAGCAGGTGAGTAGAAAGGCTTAGAACGAAAAAATATCAGTGGCATACGTGGTTTCCACACGGAGTCATCAATTCTTGGGACCTGTTACCTTAAGCAGTTGTGTCCTCACCTTCAATTGAATCATTCAAAAAAAGATTAGATACTCACAGAAGCATACTAGAAAGGGAGTAACTTAGGCCATAGGCTCTCTGTCCTCACTATACGAATATAATATAACATCGAAATGACTGTCGAAGTAACTTTCACATAGTTTAAATGAACGTCTTATGTGCTATTCACGTAAAATTGAATTAGACTTTAAAAGCTCTCAATGATCTTCACTATCATTTTAACTCATAACGTTTGCCATTAATTAGTCAAACTCTAATTATGATTTTACCGTTATGAATTCAAAACATTATCAACCGATAAATTTATCTCACTTTTCATCTATTGTCGTGGGAGACCAATATTAGATAAGTAATCCCTCGACTGTATTCCTGATTTCACTCCAACCTTAAGACCCTTTTAACTAGTAGCACACATTTTGCCCGGAATCAAATACTGCTTTCTATAAGTAGCGAAGCTATTCATTGAATTTTACAAGCAATTTAGTAGGAATTTCAGCATATGCTCTTTAACTTCGAACAATTTTGTTTTAAATTACTCCATAAAGTCTTCTTTCGTGCACGTTTATGATTTCTCTGGCATTTATCGCGTTGACATGTGAGGAAGGACCTTGGTGCCACGAAAATTAGATCTCCAATCTACAAGAGTAAATATTTTTAAGCTGGTAACCTTGGTATTTTTTACTTGTGATTAAACTTTGAGTTTATCATAGCGTCTCTGTCAAAAGTTGAGGTTGGGTTTTTGGTTACTTGATGATTTATAGTACCTTGAGTCTGGTTATTTTAAAATCCAGCTGGACTTGAATTACTCAGACAGATGCAGCATGAATGAGCAGAAACGCGTTTTATATTGATTTGGTTACCGAAGTCACCTATATTACTTTTAAGTATTTGTTTGGTTATTCATGTTTTCTTCCGTTCAAAAGTAGATTAAAGTAAAGGTTGACTGCGTATTTGATGTGGAAGTGTACGCAAACTTGTTTGTTTCTCTTAAAGCTCCCTGGAGTGACCATATCGGTCGCTGGATTATTCGACAGTGAACAAACTATCCGTTCGCATGCGTGATGTAGCACAGCTGTATATCCTCTTATTTAAAGTCTATAGATATTCGAGTTTCACATGGTTATCATGAATTCGTTCTTGAAAGGGTTTAGATTGTTTACTGCGTGTTTATTTTCTGAGTAGAAAGCACTTGAAGAAATACGCATGCCACTCATTTAAAATTTCGAGCGAATTACATTTTTTGTTTAAACATAATCTACAGATCCATTGATGAAACCACTTTTAACGATTCAAGTACCAAAATCACTCATATAATCAATCCAACAGTACTTATAGCCATAGTATAACAAATACGTTTGATAGATAATCAAATCCTCAATATATATATATATATATATATATATATATATATATATATATATATATATAGATGTATATATATATATTGAAAGGATTCAGATGCAGAATATATAAAGGATGCCTGCCAATCATGCTTGCTTTACCTTGTGTTAGGCAAACAGTCCTTCAGTATACAGAAGTGTTTGTGAGCAATCCATCGGTAGCCTTTCAAAAAACTTTTAAGTTTCATTCTTTCAAGAATAGACATGTTCAGTCATACTAAGCACGAGTAAAATCAACATTTAGGCCAGACCAACACCCAAAATAAAATCATAGTCCAAAGCAGTCTGTTTTAAAATCACGAGGAGCTTTGTTAACTGAACAATTGTATGCCGTTTATTATTTAGGAAAAACCATGTTAGCTCAAATAATAATTCTCTAAATGAAGTTTTAGAAACAAATTCAGGTTAATTGTAACGTGTAGGTTATGATCAAGCTCTTCACGTCCTTTTTCTACTTGAAAAGCAAAATTATGTTGGTCCTACTACAGTTCTTTCATGTATATTTTGATATCCTTTGAGTTTGATATAGAAACCGACCCGGTCACACAAGGTGAATTTCCAAGTTATATTTCACTCATCGTCTAACAAATAAGGTTTTTTAAGATAATTTTAAGCAAAATACCGGACTATTTTTTTTGTTTAAATTGGTACCATTGAAGAATCTTAGTTTATTAATTTTTGTTTCATAGCATAATATCTTTCAAAAGTTTTGCTTTAAGTGTCTCGCTTTTTATTCAGTGTGTCTCTTTGATTTAAGTAGTTAACCTAGATTTCACTCAAAACTAAGAATTACTCTTTGAAGGCGTGTTTGTGGATAACTTAAAGTTCGACTGGTTGACAAGTGGTTTATCATCACCGTATTGATTGTTTAATCCTTAATAATGACAGGATCTTATGAATTGAATCGAAGTTCGGGCAGTGATTTTAGCGAATCTATATTGTGTGCACTGTGCTTTGATGTTTGGACATGATTTTGTTCCGGGTGAAATTAGATATCAAAGCATACCTTCAGTCTTAAGAAAACTGACGTTTCATGTCAGACTGGAAGTCAGTTCACCAAATATTGCAATCTATGACGTTATAATTTGAAAAGAAATAAAACCGGTATGCAAAAATATGCTGTAGTTTTAAGTTCAAGTACCAAAAGAAAATAAAGAATAAACTCACGAGCGCCGTTTCCAGTCATTATCAGTCGTGTTATCCATGACCTTAAACTGCACACCGTGGGTGCGTCGTTGACCTCACATAAAAAATCTGGACTTCATAAAATTATTGAAACTTGTTTGAAGTCAGATTTAAAGGCATCACAAATCCGGAATTTGAGCACTTGCCCACGGATATCACGATAAAGTAAGCAGAAAAATACTGATAGCAAAAACACTATAAAATGTGCACAAAACGAAGGAAATTTGGCGGTACAGAATGAGAATTTTAGTGATGGTGAATGTTCCTGAGTGACTAAAACCTGACGATTGCGGACAAAATGAAAGATTTTTTTGCAGATGATGTCGAAAAAATAAAGTTGTTGAGTATTGTGGTTGATTATCTGTAGAAAGTACATTATTGTAACTGTATTTTAATGCAGTCAGTAATACAAATAGGCTTTGGCTACTAGTATTCTTCAACCTTGATTGCTCGGTTATTTAGCGACGTTATTGAGTAATGTAGCAAGTGTTTCAATGAAGGTTTACAACATTGATCGCTTAGTCATTTATTGAACACATTGCTTCGACTTTCGTGAAATTACATCAGTGTAAATAAAAATGTTTTAAAATAGTTTTTAGCTTTTTTGTCTTATCAGTCATATAAAACAAGTGTTTTAGAACTGTGCGGCCATTATCAAAAAATTTAAGAACGAGAGATGCTGATAATGTTTTTGCTGCATTCACCGAGTGGCCCTCAGAACCGTAAGGGATATAGTTGAGTGAAATGGCTTTGTGAATGGTCCATCTTATCATTATTATTAGTATTATTGCTGTATTTATCCACTAGAGCAATTTAAAAGATCTGATGATAATTATAGCTTTTCAAACAATTTTTTAAAAACTTTTTTGATTCTGAACAACGAAATCTGTTTTGTTTGTGGCATCTTTAGAGCTTCACCTGATTTGCTTTAATAGGGTGAACGATTTAAATAGTTCAAAAAGCAAACTTTTATGAGATCACAAAGATATAAAATTAAAAAAATACATTAGGTTATTGAAAACTGTAGACATAAGTTCAAATTTCTACACTAGTAAAATTAATGATCATATGCAGTTGTTCTTGTGGGTCTATTCTTTTGTACTGAGCGTTAAAATTTTCTGTCACACGTTACCATGCTAGGGCAAACACAGAAAGGATTGGAAGTTTTGTCTTCCTTACAAATTCTATGGTAGTACTTACCAATATATTTCAGTCAATTTGTACTGTCGTCTGCCCATTTCGATCATGTGAGACATAAACATTTTGATTGTGACTTTGAATAAATTTAAAATAAATATTGTGACCACTTTGCTGTTTTATTTTAACGACAGAATTTAGTCGCGTAATCCCTTGTTTTTCTTGCAGCTATTACTTGCTATTTCACCCCCCCCCTACTTTATGTGGTTAGATTATTCATATAAGTATGCACAAATCTCAGATACAGTGTTCTATGTTTTTTATGTCTCGTCTATTTGGACTTCTGTCTCTTGTTGAAGTATGTGAAACGTTTATTTTTAGTTCATTTTGTTTGTTTGAATCTTCCATTGATTTTCAAGACTGCAATTGATCAGTCTATATTGACGTATGCCCATCCTGTGCGGATTGCCTTGATACCGACTTAAGATAAAGGCAGAGATAGATGGTAACTAGCAAGGGGGTCAAAGACGCGAGTTTTGTCTTGTTTGGGACCCATCAGCTGGATGCATCTTACATCTTCTAGATTTTATCTACTCACGATTCCAGTTTTTTGCCAACTACATTATCATCTATGGTTTTTTGAGTGCATTGAGATGAGCACATTGACAGTAATAAAATGTATTGTATGGACAGCATATTTAAATCTTTGGTTTGATAATTGTTAGGAATGTAACGTAATCGTTGAATAATAGCGTCATTGATTGGCCGTAATAGGAGTGATCCCAGCGAACTTTAATCTGTCCATAAATTTCACAGCTGAAAAAAATATTTTGTCATAGGTATCTGATCATGCTTTTGTGTTTCATGAGAGTTGTTGCTCATTGCTTAACAGTTGTGAAATAGTATACTTGGTAGGTTCTGCTTCCTTTGAAGTGAATAGAGCTGAAACACAGAAAATATACCATTATTTTGCTGTGTTGGCGGTTCATCTTTGATTTCGTTTACGAATTGTATTGGAGCACTAATAGAGTGATCACATGGTTCTATACCAAACAAATATGACAACCTCAGACTGTTTGTTACCGATGAAAAGATTTACAACAGAACTACTCCATTTTACTCTCTAAATCTTGTTGTTCTTCGTTTGAAGAAGTATCAAGAGAACAAGAGGTATGAAGCAATCGTAACTGATAAAGAGATAAATATTTGAAAATCCATTTTAATAGAGTTATTGAAATTTTTGAAATTTATTGATAATTTCAATAGTGAAATACTCACCGGTATTTTTTGTACGGATACTGTTGCGCAACATAATTGATGAACAGCAAACTTTAATAACCGTTAAATTAATATATGTCCGGATTCCAGTGTTTATTAAATAAACCAGTAAACAAAATTTAAGAAGTTTCATCTGGTGTTTCTGGACCAAGTTTATAAGTAATAGATTATTAGAAATTTTAGTACTTAAATAGGTTATTCAATATAAACAGCTGAATTCGTACATGCATTCATCACAATTATGAGATCATAGAACCAATAGTTTGTTACTGAAATCTTTTCCAACAAGTCTATTTTATGTTTAATCTGCAATCTTTGTTCGTATTACATTGCATGTTGTTTTCTTTTCAGCTTAATATGCTTAAAGACATTGATTATATTAGGCTGGCCATTTATTTTCTACTTTTCACAACCCCTGACTTATTTGCTTACTTAGATAGCCAACTATGTAAATAATGTTCTGATTAATAGTAATGGTAGTGCTTACATATCGTTAGAAATAAATTTATTGAAAACTTTTCTACAGATTCATATTTATTGAAAAGTACGTGAGTATTTTTGATTCAGAAGTGAGAGTTATTCAGTCGCCTTATAACAAACAGACGTGTTGCTTTGTTTATGTCGGATGTGGTTGCATTAGGAATAATACATATGAAATACAAATATAAAAATTAAAAGTATTTATCACATCATACCATTTTATAACTTGAATGAACTTTGTTTTATCGAGAATGAATTTTAATGTCACAAGATAATAACACTTGTCAATCGAACTCAATAATCCGTAAAAGACTAGGAAAATATAATAATTGTCATTACTCAGTGATCAATCGACTGTAGATGTTTCAGTCCTACAGGAGGTCAGTCTTGGCTGTGAACCTGGACGATGTGTATTTGAACTCATGGAGAAAATCAGTTTCCTCACCATTTCATGTAGACCTTGTTGAAGGGTCCTAACTATAACAAAAAATAGGTTCATATTTTTTGACGGAGTTTTGTTCTCTGTGCTGGATGGTTTGGTCGTGGAGCTTTCATCGTTCTTCTGAACGACATCATCAGTACAAACTTCAGGTAGAAGTGAAGCGTCCGAATTTTTCCACATATAGTTGGCAGCTTGTCCTGTAGACCTCGATGTTGATTGGTTTTTTCTGACCTTAAATCTGTCATTGTTTATTTCTTTGTTTTGGTTGCATCTCCCATTTGTTTGATTTTCGGTCCTATGTTTGTCCACAATTTTCCTGATTTTTTGATAAAGTGAATCGATTTCAATGTGCTTGCTGATCGCTGATTGACAGGAATATCAAGCTCCTAAAAATTCTCTGGTGTTTTTAAAATTGTCTCTATCCAAGATTTTCACATTTTCCAGTCGAATATGTGTCCGCAGTTGTCCACGTGCATTGATATAAGTGAGGAAATGTCATGGCGTTTGCCCGCTTGTTGATGTTCATACAGGCAACGATGAAGAAGGCATCCCTTTTATCCAATGTAGTGTTTTCCACAGTTGGTACAATTTATTTTGGAGATTATGTTCGGTTTTTCATCTTTTGTCATTTCATCCTGTGGCTTACATAAGACTGATTTCTGTGATTTTGTTGGTTTGTGTGCAACACCTATTTTGAAAGTTCTTTAGGACAAGCAGCCAACCATATGTGGAGAAATTCGAACATTTCACTTCTACCTGAAGTTTTTGCTGATGATGTCGTTTGGGAGAACGATGAAAGCTCCACGACCAAACCATCCAGCTCAGAGAACAAAACTCCATCAAAACCACTCACCTGAGCTACAAATCTTCTCCACCACCTCAATGGGTTTATAGTTTCATTTGACTATATCCAAATGAGTAACAATTTGATATCTCACAAACGTTAGATATGAATTGATTAAATAACTATAAATGGTAACTTGACTTTGTAGTTGATTCAAAAACTGGCATAAAATTCTATCAACTAATTACAAATATTTTTAAGGTTTTAGCGAATCGTCCTAACTAATGTCACTTGTAGTTTATGCTTTATAAAGGTACTTTTTGTCTAAATAAAATAATAGGTGAATGTTACTTATTAGTAAATATCTCTTCTTAAGTTCATCCTATATTCATTATACGGTATTATTCTATCATAATATATTAAAATTGTGATAACTTAGGTCTCTGTAGACTTATTTTAAAAAGAAACATCAAATATATAATCAAAATAATTTATTTTCTTCAGTTTAGGCATTTAGTTGTTGAAAAAAAGCGAATTCCAGCCAAGAACTTCTACTCTGAATATGACTGGTAACCAAGAACATCATGAACATGAACGGCCAAAACAAGATAATAACTCAATACTGTCCTCGAATGATGATGAAACAACCTCAAAACACTCTGAATTCTATAAGAAACTGCCGTTACTTTTATTCATTATGGCCTACATATCATTTTGTTGTCTTGGTGCACTTTGTTTAACCCTACTAGAACGACCTACAGAAAGACTAGAAAGATTGCGCTTACACGCTTCACAAATCAATTTTTTGAGGACTAATCCATGTGTATCAAGTAATATATGTATATTTGTTATTCAGTAATTTTTTGCTTTGTGTCAGATCTCATTACTGGTGGTATTTTAAAAGTTAATGGATCACTGAGGTCTCATTAATACACCAATCTATAGAACAGGAAATTTTAAGGGAAAAATACTATTAATAAAAATAAAACAAAATAAGTAACGATTGTTTATACAGAATACCTGTGACTGTGTTCAACGATTATTTAAAGGTTAAAGGTTGACCATTTCGTTTACGACCTGAACAATAAATGTCATTTTGAACATGAGTTAATTCCTTAGTCTCCTGACATAATTCCTAAGTTTAAGATTACTTTTTTAGTCTCAAACACGAATTGTAACAGGCGTGTGCCCTAATTAATTTACATGAAGGAGTCCAACTAACTGGTAATCGAATTCAAGAGATGGAGTTTTATGGAAACAGGCTCATTTCCTTACAATAGTCACTTTTTAACTTGCAGTATTGTGAGTTTAGCCCACATCTAGTTCCTAGTTTTACTTTAGTTTTGACTTTCTTTCTATATGAAACCGGATAAGCCATTGTGATTTCCTTATCAGTAATACTGTTATAAATATTTCCAGAACATATTTCATATTTATTCATTAGTCGTCTACCATTATTGTTATTTAGTCTCTCCGTGTACTCACTTTTTGTACATCGTTTCCACACAAATACATAGTGTTATCAAATCAAAGAATCATAACTTAAAAAACCTGTAAACGCAGTTTTTTGCTGATAGCCTAGATTTTTAAGCCTTATTTCTCTTATCTACTGTGGTTTATTATAAAACTGTGGAGTAATTTTACACGTAATTCCAAAATCCGGACAGAAATTACGGAAAAAATGTATAACGTCCGAAAATAAGTAGAGAAAAACATTTCAATACAGATTTAGAAAAAGCTAGTAATTTTAACTCTCATTGAACCCCCATTCTAAAGTATGTCATTGTGAGCATTGATTTTTTTAAAAATCAATAGGTGAAAATGATCAATCTTAAGCTCTGACAGACATGAGTTTTCATTTTGATTATTTTTTAGATAGCATATGATAAATACTAGTGTGTATTAAAATATTTTACTTATTAAGATGAATTAAATCACTAAGATTGTGTATTTATCTTATTCTTCTTCAAGGTGAAGAACTTCAGAAGTTTGTTAGTTATATTGTATCAGCCACAAAAATGGGTATATCAATGACACCAATTAAAAATATTAGCAAATATGACTTACTGAGCATTCCTAAAAATTGGCACGAAAATTTTTATTTGGAAATGAATGCTGAAGTAAATGCTCAACTGGAATCAATCGCTAGACGTATTCTAACTGAAGAAGAAATAAATAACAGCAGTTGGAATTTTTATGAATCAGTATTTTTTGTGATAACAGTTATTACAACTATAGGTAAGATTAAAATAGTGTCACGATTAACATGGATATATTAAGTAACAGATTTTCGCATTCATGTCACTGGAAAATAATCATAATTTAGGCAGTAAAAATTGATAACTTAGTTAAAATGTGAACTTTTATTGAAAGAATTTCATAGAAAAAGATGATTATGACCAGCATTGCGATCCAAGGAGCGCGCTTCATCCTATACATGGTGAACGTAAATCTCAGTGTTCACATTCACATCAGGACTCAAGTCTATTACATTTTGAGCCAAAACGCAACTCCCGGATTCAATTACTAGCCACTATCCATTTATTTTGTAAAAGTTGTGACAAAAAGATAATATCTAAGTGTTCCACTCAGGATCTGCATATACTAACAAAAACTGGTCAAAATGCAGTCCTTTATTTCAACAACGGGAATATTCAAGCCCATCTCACTATTCATATTTTATTCAAAATGTTTTATTACTAGTTATTTAACGCAGATAAAACCGTTACTTTTTCCTAAAACTTAAAAAATATCTGTTGACTTTAAAGTATAGTATTTTCACTGCTGATCAAGTGACCATGGCCAGAAACTTCAAATCTTTTATTGATAAAAGTGATATCAATAATGAACGATCCGTTTATTAGAAATTTTCATCAATTGCAAGTTTTTGCATATTCAGTTCGAAAAGATAAATTATTTAAATCGTTTTTATCTTGAGTGCTATTAACCAGTCTAATTATTTATTATCTGTAAGAGAAAAACTTTTCATGATCATAAGTAATAGTAGTAAATGGACCGTTGATAGAAAAATTATGTTAACTTGAAAGACATTAATGATTTATGAACAATTGAAGAAGAAAAAACTTCAACGTTTCATTTTGAAACATTGTTTCAGTAACAGGGCTAAAATATCTTTGACAAACACACGCCTATCACTCCGTTAATGTTTAAGAGAAATATGACAACTGGTTACAGACGAATTGAATATCCAATATTTTTATTAATATAATTAATATGTGTACTCAGAGCAATGAAATCAATGTTTAGCGATTTGCTATATGCATTATCAGTATAGATGCTTACTCTGTTTCCCGAATCTAAAACCACATATAGCTGGAACTTATTGTTCTATAGTTATGATGCTTTTAAAATCATGTTATATAAGAAAATTATTTGTACATGTTAATTAAACAAAAGCATATTTTTCCACTTGGATTACTTTTATATTAGTCGTAGTATTGTTAAATGTTTAAAAACTAACTTAAGACGGGACTATACCCATTATTTTTATAATGTTCCATCTTCTTAATAATGAATAAACTGATCCCGAAAAAAATTTGAAACCTAATCATTAAAACTGAGAAGCTATTTACCAGCTTAAAGTCTAATAGAAAGAAATGATGTAAACAGGTGGGAATATTAACAATTTTATCATACGTGGGATTAAATGAATGATTTTTAGAAATTAATCACTTACTTACGCCTGTTACTTCTTGTGGAAACTCATAGGCCACTTACCAGCATTCTCTATCCAACTCTGTCTTGGACAGTCCTTTCCAGTTGCTATTTATTCTTTTGATGTCTACTTCCAATTCCCAGTGCAATGTGCTCTTTGACCTTCCACTTTTCCGTCTTCCTTAAGGATTCCAGGTTAGTGCTTGCTTCGTGATGCATTTTGGTGATTTCCGAAATGCTTGTCCTATCCACTTCTAGTGTCTTTTCCTAATTTCCTTCACAGTTAGAAACTGGTTTGTTCTCTCCTACAGTAGGCTGGTGCTGATGGTATCAGACCAACGGACATTGCGTTTCTAACGTAGACAATTGTTTATAAATACTTGTACATTTTTGATGATGGTTGTAGTGGTTCTCCAACTTTCAGCTACCTACAGTAGAACTGTCTTGACGTTCGTATTGAAGACTCTGACTTTGATAGTGTTTGGCAGTTGTTTTTAGTTCCATATGTTCTGCAACTGTAGGAATGCCGTCTTTGCTTAGCCAATCCTTGCCTTCAAGTCTGCATCGGATCCTTCTTGTTCGTCGATGATGCTGTCCAGGTGTGTGAACGTTTCCACCTCTTCCAAAGTTCCTCCACGAAGTTTGATCGTGTTGGTGTTCCCCGTGCTGTATTTAAGGATCTTGGTTTCTACCTTCTATATGTTCGGGCCTACTGCTTCAGCGGCTGCTACTACACTAGGTGTCTTCACCAGCATTTGTTGGTGTGCAGAGAAGAGATAGGTCATTTGCGAAGTCCGAATTGTCTAGTTGCACCCATACTCTCCGTTGTATTCCATGCTTCCTTTCATATGTGGAGGTCTTCATAATCCAGTCAATCAATAGAATAAAGAGAAAGGAGGAGAGTAGACAACCTTGTCTGACTCCGGTCTTTACTTGGAATGCATCTGTCACCTGTCCTCCATACAACACTTTGCAGCGTAGCCCATCGTATGGAATGCGGATGGTGTTGAGGATTCCCTCAAGTATATCGTAGTGTCGAAGATGGTTCCATGGACTTCTCTTATCCACACTGTCGAATGCTTCCCTCTGGTCAAGAAAGTTGATGAACAGTGACGATTTCCATCCAACTGATTGTTCAGCGATGACCTGTAGTGTCACGATTTGGTTTATGCACGACCAATCCTTATGGAATCCGACCCGTTGATCTCGAAGTTGGGCGTCTACTGAATCTTTCACCCTGTTCAGCAACAATCTGTCGAATACGTTTCCTGGTATTGACAATAGTGTGATGACTGTGTATTTCTCGCACTTGCTCAGATCTCCCTTCTTGAGTATCTTGGTGAGATATCCTTCTTTCCAGTCTGTCGGTGGCACCAGTTCTTCCTCGCAAATCCTTCTGAATGGAACGTGAAGCATGTTTGCGATTACTTCTGTGTGTGACTTCAGTGCTTCAGCTGCTATATTGTCAAGTCCTGCTGCTTACTCACTCCTGATTTCTTCGATCGTTGGTAGAGTGATATCTATAGGAAGGTGTGTGTGTGTGCTGCCCCGGTGTCCGGTGGATTCAATGGAGCTGGCCTATTCAAGATTTTCTCACGGCGTCCTACCCGTCTTTGTCTGCATTCTTGAATCTCAGTGGTTGGCTTGCTTTCTTTGCCTTTGACCAGTGTCTCTGGTTTATTATATTTTCCTGTTCGTTTCTTCGTCGTGCCAAATGGCTATTTGATTTTTCCTTCTGTTGCAGCTTTTTCTGTAGCCATTGCTAGGTCTTCTACGTATTTCTGTTTGTCGGCTCTAAATCTCCTCCTCAATTGCTTGTTTGCTTCAGTGAATTCAGCTTGTGCCTTACTTGCTCTGTTCTTATTCGGCTGTTGTTATTCGCTGTCTTCTTGTTCTCTCTTTCTTGAATCTTGTCCGGGATTTCGATGGAGATCCGTTCGTCGTGGTGGTTGTTGTGGCTCAGCACTTCCTGACACGTTGAAGTTAGTGCTATAACTTGTGGTATTGTGTCCTTGGCTTTTGTTTTCTTCCCGTCGCCAATTGTTATTACTTGTGGATTTGTGCCCCTATCAATGTATACCGTGATGATACAGCCAATTAGAGAATTGTGAATTATCGATCGGACCAATGACGCTTAAAACCCATGCGAGCACTCTAGAGTGCTTATCGGTTCTGCTTTCTGCCTAGCCCAGCCAGTTAAGTCCAGAACATCAATCTCAGTCTCTGAAATATGAATCATGTATTCCAAACATACTGGGTTTATATACAAACCAAACAGATCACATCGTACCATAAAATAGGAAATAACTTTTGTACAAAATTTAGCCAAATGTAGCTGTGAGTGTGGGAGGTAGTAATTAATAGACAGGGCATAATTCAAGAATGGTAAATCGTAGAATAATAGTTCATAGGTCAAAATAAAGCTCATAATAAAAGGGACATGAATATGAATAATTTAGTTATTTAACAATTATATGATAAAAATATACGCATTGTATTGGTCCATAAGTGGATCCAAAAAGTTACCATTCCTTATGCTTATCGGAATATAACGGTTAGCGCTTCTTTGATGCCTTTCCAGTTACCTTCCATGGTGATTTCTTCTCGTTTCAGTAGATCTTGTAGGGCTTGAAACCTGTTGTTGACAGCTATCTTGAATTGTTTGAGTTTGACAGTATCCTTAAGGAACGCTGTATTGAACCTTTGTTTCCCCAGCTGTTCAGTGCTTCTTTAGCCTCAGTTTCATCTTGGTAACCACCAATTGGTGGTGATACGCAGTTATGTCAGCTTCTGTCCTGGTTCTCACGTCTTCTATCGACCTTCTGAATTTTTTAGTTATGCAAATACGGTCGATCTGGTTTTGTGTAATCCGGTCCAGTGAGACCCATGTGGCTAGCTTTGTGTATGCGTTTGTGTGGGAATATTGTGCCGCCTATAACCGTCTATAGGAAGGGGCATCGCCCTCGTGACTTCTGAAAACTCTCGGCCTTCATCATGCGGCGTTACAGTTCTTCCTTCAACTCACAGGGTAGAGTTTAAATGGTTTAAATTGTTTGATCTGTTTAGTATTCATATACTAACATCTTTATCATATTGACGATATCCCTCTTTCTAATTGTATTTTTCAAATATTTCTACAAAAATATTACAACATTTATATTTACTTTAATAAGTTTTATTCTTTAGTAATGCCTTTATAGGATTTTCGATGTGTAGTCACTATAGTACTTATTTTAACTAGTATTATACGAGGTCAAATGGAGTGTGAAAATTGTCATTAAACTGATGATTGTCATAGTGTGTTTTGTTGTGGGTCAAAAAGATTTTTGAAACATAAACTGATCTGTTTGCTTAGTGTAAACATTAGTCACTAAATAACATTAGACTTAATATTGATAAGTCAAATTGTCAAACCGATTTCTCGTTATCATCAAACCTTACAACACATTAAACTACAGAAATTTGAAGCCGTCACGCATATAGTATACAAGAACTCTTATGGAATATCTATTAAACAGCACATTTTTCGAAGCTAAAAAAGGCCAGAATTATATCAGTCTCTCAGCTTTCTGCATACTTCTAATCGATTTGCTAATCCAATATATCTATGGAACTAAGAGGTTAATCATTACATATGATGCTAGATCTATCATTTGGAAATGTCATATTTGTATTAATATTTTTGACAAAACCAGGAAAAATATAGCTCTTTTAATAGGTATATATATAAGCTTAGACAAGGGAATTTACTTGCTTTGAAAAAGAATGAGTGACTAATAAGTCAACTACTTGTTAGCATAGCAATATACCATGGTGAAATAACTGACAGGCTCCAAATCGAAAAATTGGATTTATCATTTTCATCGATCTTAAGTTATTATTAATTAAGAGATGTTTTTTTCTATGCTTATTTTAGTTATTTGATTCTTTCAAATAAATTCACTAAAATACTTCACAGTCAATTTAGTCATTTCTTAAGTCGATCAAAATCATGGGTTACGCCGAAAAAGCACTTTTCTATAATTCTTTTTGAGGCTTTTTTACTATATTTTAATAATCTAAACATCAATAAATGATACTTAGTTCATCATTTTAAGACATCATTATGTATGCTCAAGTATAACATTTGATTAAATAATAAAGATGAAAGAGGATAAGCATATGACAAGTGATACTTGTCAATAATTAAGCTTTATAATGACAAGACTTGTTACGATAAAAATGTATTAAATAAATTCATAAAATAATGTTGTAGATTTCCAGTCGATTATTTGAATTCAATATTTTCTGGAATGAATGAATAACTTTATAATTTTACATCATGTGAATATAACAAAAACAATTTGAATAGATTAGACAATGTTTATATTGTAGTTTAATATTTGTAAATGAATTCAACATGAAGCATAATTGTTTAAGGTCAAATGTAGAAAAATGTTGAAATGTATTGTTTGATATTTTTGTATTTTATTTATTTTATGTTACTGTGTGATATATTAATATTTTTAACAAACAAAATGAAATGCCAATTACTACTTGATGTGTTGCGCAATCATTTCACTTCGTAGTTTTAGAATATGAGATCAAATGACATTGCATTATTTTTATATATTATGAATTCTAATTATATGCCTACAAAAGTAATCAAGTTTTTAAAAAAATTGCATTGGTTTGACCAAAACATAGTATGATAATACATGATCAAAACCGGAAACAGTCGTTATCAATGAGATAGGATTATTAAGAATGTTATGAAAAAGTTGAAGAAATATTATGACAAAAAATTACCTAACAATAAGAAATTAAACAAGACTAGTTATTTTTAAAATGTTTGATAAGATTTATTTGACCTTAAAAGAAATGAATAAGTAAGTATCCTATAATAAAGTTTTTCGAAGTAGATGTGGTAACTGATAGGTAGGAAGAAGACAACGATTTGAAGTAGGGTAATCAAAAATTTGAATTACAATGGTATTGATAAATTACGCTTTTTTGAATCCAGAAGCTAGATTTAAGTATCATGACAGCAACTAACTGATTAGAACCCCAAAAACTCACATCACTCTACTCGATAACTATTTTAAAAGCCATAAATATGACAACTTAACTGCTTTCAACAAACAGGTAAGTTATTGCATCGTTAAAGGACTTCGACCCTTTGATTGGGGATTTATATGAAAGAAGCTCAAGAATACGAAAATGTAACCTCCTCTTTGTTGCTCAAGTTTATGTGATCTGGCTGGCATAAGGTATTTGATGTTAATGTTAATATGAAAATCGTCAGTATTTAACTGTTTTCGTGGTGCGTTCATCTAATAGCAAACGAAAACGCAGAAGCCAAATAGGCAATCTTCGCCAAGTCATTTATTTCTTAATTAATTATTCTGTTGACGATATCACTTCTGAAGCAGAGATATTAAGAGGTAGCTGTATTCTCAATATAGTTTGTTTGTGTTCTCTTCCACTTACTTATGAATCTCCGTGCACACGTAATCTGCATAAACGTTCTTGGACGTGGGTTTCTACTCCAACTTCGCCTTAAAGCGGAGTTCGCGAATGGGATTAAAAGATGTTTGCAAATATATTTCTGTTACTTATTAGATAAAATCTGTTATAATAAAACATACCATTCTACAGATGTTTGCAGTGAATATATCATTACAATGCATCATATATATACATACATACATATACAGTTCATTGAGTAATAAAACCCAAGAAATGAAACTTATAATTTCGATGTCGTGTTTTGGATTTTAGACAAATGATCCGTTTTTCGCAAAAATAGTTCATCGAAAGAAAGTTTCATTGAATGATAATATGATTAGAGAATCCGGTTTTTTGAGAGCCACTGATAAAATCGCTAGAGAGTTGAGTTCCTAGATATTGAACTATACTAACATTTTGTTTTCAATTTGTTAAATACTCTAACTAAAAGAAACAGAAACTAAGATAATAGTTCTAAGAATTTATCGACTTTCAGAAATATCTTAATTAATCAATATTGGTTAAGGAAACAATATCAAAGATATTTGTTCGTTTATTTAATTGAATTTTTCAAAATGTTGATAACTGGAAGGTCCAATGTAATATGAAAATTTTTCCGTTTGTCAACAACAAATATATATATATATATATATATTTCAAACGAAAGGGTTTTGGGAAATAAAATTGTTGAGGTTTTAATCGAGATCATGAACTAATAGATGTCAGACCACCATTGAAAACCTAGAGGCACTGGAAGGCTGCTTCGTCTGCGAGACCAAAGGTTTTAGGTTCAAGTCTTGAGTGTTATATCGTGGATACGCACTGCTGAAGAGTCCCATGCTAGGGCGAAATGACCGTCCAGTGCTTCTACATTTCCAATAGTGGTCTAACATTGATCGGTTGAAGATTCTAAAACTTATTAAACTGTCAATCGCACTTTTGACGAATAATCAACTCCTAGAGAACTTTGGACCATGTCTGTAAAATGGTTTTCATTCTGTAATTATTTCTGGAATATGATCTTTTTATTTACTTAAATCAAAAGATGTTTACATTATGGTGGGGAAAAATAATTTGTGAATGGTTTTACCGTGAAGTATATATTATATCTGAGTACTTGATTATCATTATCCGATGTCGATTTATAATAATTAGTTTATATCCATATATCACTTAATTTGGTCCACTCATTTGACAATTTTACTTCTCAAAACCTTTTTGCATCAAACCATTAGTTTTGACTTTTTTTAATTCTTATTTCTTTTATATGTTATTTGGCATCATAAAAAATAGGAAGAATGCTTAAGCTTGACATTATTCTACACAGTCACATTATTGAGATATAACATATAGTGATCATGAAATTTTATTTCACCTTTACCGATTTTGTTTATCCGCTTACTTAATTTTTCTTCCATATCATCTATTTAACAAAACTAATTTCAACTGTGAAATACCTTAAAAGAATGTGAAAATAATTAGGTCAAATAAAATAACGTTCAGTTATGTTTTATTTTGCAATTTTTATGAAAATGAAGATTTTAATGTTATTACTGTCAGTATAAATGCTTGATTTTTGAATAACTTTTCTAGGTTATGGAACAATCAGTCCAGTTACCATATACGGCAAAGCTTTTTGTATATTTCTGGTTGCTGTTGGAATTCCAATGAATGTGATCCTGGTTTCTGTATTAGCTTCTTTGTGCATGCCCATTATTCGCAAATCACGAAATGCCCTAGTTGATTTTTATTCTTATTCAAACGATCATGATACATATCATAACAAACATAATAAAAATTGGAAACATTCAAATTTCAATTCTTTAAGCGGACATAGGAAAAGTATCGAAGATATTAAACCATGCCTAAATAAGGAAAATAAACATAGAGTTTCAAAATTGTTTTTCAAGCTTAAATTTCTTTTCCGACGACAAGTTAATGCTCCAGACGGACGAAGTGAATCAAGTGTGCTTCATAGATCGTTATCCGACAGGTTAGTTTGCTGTTTTACTGACCAATTAAATTTTTATATATCAACTAATTTATTTAAAATATACATATATTCTCGCATATTAAATCACACGGTTTCCAATTGCTATCTGAATAATACGAATTTTTGACTTGATCGATGAAAATTCATCTATACGCTTGAGTCCAGAACTGTTAATTAAATACGTGAATGCTCAAAATAAAATTCAAATACAAAATGAAACTTTCATGAAGAATTCCATAACTACTTAAATTTATACCAGTAAATAATGAAAACGATTTCCAAAATGTTTTGAAATAACAGTTCATTTTTATTCATTATTAAGAGCTGGTTAATAAAAATTAAGATTGTTTCAACGCATCCAAGATAGGTTGCGGCCCTAAATCTGACTCTAGATTGAATAGTATGTATGATTGCTATCGAAATATACATATCGCCAATCCTCGTATATAATCATCGACCTGAATCGCGTTGGTGAATAACGGAATTTAGTAATTCAAATACGATAATGAATTTTTGAATACATATATTTCGTATAATCGTTGGTTGGATAGCGAAGCACAACAAAATGACACGCAATGGAGAAGGCGGGTAAGCCAACTCAATTTAGCCAAACGTGAATCGATATTTATAGTCGAACAAAAATAAGTTACAGACATGTGATGAATAGAATAGGAAGTGCACACACATACGCTCATATAAAAACAGTCAAGGTTGATAAGCAAATAGTTAACAAGGTTAAAATGTGACTCAAGACGAATGAATAAACTGATCTTTACGAAAGCTAAAATAAGCCGTGTGAGCTTAACATAGCAACCGACATCAAAAAGCACTACTAAGTACTATTCCTTAAAAAAATTACACTTGCTTTTATCAGTCAACCGTGGTTTTGTTTTTCCCCATTTCATATCGGTGCTTGGATTGTGAAAAGGATAAACATTCTCCACTTGTCTAAGCGCAACTTAGACGAGATCTGTAGCATTTTCTACAAGTCTAAGACGAAAGAAAATGCACATATATATTGGACAGTACCTAAATAAGTAAGGAATATCCACAGCTATCAACAATATTACTTTAACTCAAATTATTCTCTTCTTTATATAGACATTGTTAGTGGATTTGTTTTCTACAAACAAAGCTTCATAATACTAGATTTAGTTGGTTGATATCATCTTAGAATTTAGATATACTCTCCACCTAAGTGAGCCATTGATTCAGTTTAATTTGATAGCCAATCATAAACTGTCTTTCTTTTCGGAACGAAATCGTACTAGAGAGATGTAATGAAATTTTACTTTACGTAACTATGATTTGTACGTTGTAACTAAAGATTAAGTTCTACTTTAGTTCCTACACTACATAAATATTTTACCGATAAAACATAAAAACTTAGATATTATTCCTTTTTTTAGAAATGTCATCATTCTAGCCATACAATGAAAAAGTAAAGATACACACTCAGTAAAATTTATTTAAACTGATCAAAACAACGGCTACTTTGACAATCATGTCTTCATCATTATATCGAATCGAAATTTCTTATATTTTTGCTAAATCATGTGTTATGCCTGCTACCTCTCGTGGAGGAGCATAGATCACCCACCATCATCTTCATCCAACTCTGTCCTGGATATTCCTTTCCAGTTACTATACATCATTTTTATGTTTGCTTTTTAGAGGTACCGTAATGTAAAATAATGAAATGTACAAGTCGTACGTGAATAGAACAACTAGTAGGTTAGCTCATGAATCTATAAATCATATATACAGAGTAATCAGATAGAACTAGGTAATTAGAAGAATAAACAATAGTCCATTCTCTCAATGTGTCTCAAAATAGTTATGGATCGTAGTTTTGAAATTTATTCACAGATATTTGAATTTGTATTCATGTAGGTAAATAAACAAACCTATGTGTAGGTTCATTATACAATAGTTTCTTGTAAAGTGTTCACTGATATTTGACGACTTTTCTGAATAACTACTCTCATTGTAATCATATCTATTGTTAGTATTTATTTATCTCACATTATTTCTTCAATCTTATATCTATTCATTTTGTTCTACCTGGTATTTGTAAGTGATTAATTTATCAATAATAATTCTGACTAATCCGTAAAATGTAAATATCATTGTTTTAACTTTTATATTTAATACAATGATTATTTTCTCGACTAAATTTGTTTCACAGCCAACAATTAGTTACTAACGATTAAAATTATGATCCACATCCTTGAAAACCTCTCACACTGCACTTAATTAATTGCATACAGCTTTAGTTAAACGAAACATGATTTTTGTTGAATATATTTTTTATCATATTCAGTTATTCAATTCACATTTCAAAGAAATCCGTAAATTTAACGTCGTCACTTAGTTTATTTATTAAATTACCGAATCAAGGTATCTCATACGCTTTATACAACTCTATATACGCAATGTCAATCAATAGACATAGTATACCAGTTAACACTTTAAACCAGAACTAGCTAACGTCTGGAAATATCTTGTGATTGTCGATCATAAATGTCAACTGCCGATAGCAAACACTTGGTGAACGCATTATTTACCCTTCTATTTGCGTATAGAATGCCTTGTCTCAGAGTTTCGCTTTCTAGTTGACTTTCATCAGAAAATCAACCTGGATAGCTAAAACCATAAGTACTCGTTTTAAAATAAAGAAATTCATATGACTGAAAATACCACTTAATAATAATCAACCTCTGGAAATGTGTAAACGTATTTTTAATAAGCCATGCCTAGTGATAAAATTGATAGTAATTTAGAAATGAAAAAACAATTGTAAGGCCTTCACAACAGTGGTGACATTAAGAATAATGCTAAATGAGTAAACTTAGTGAGATAACCACTGTCTTATCCAATACCTTATATAAAATGTCTTACTATCACACTGTCCTCGAGGGCACCGAGACTGTGTTTTGAGGATTCACTTGCTAGTGTATCGAGACGCATTGGAAGAACTTTAATAAACACTGGTTTTCTTATGAAGTCTATTCACAAACACTCTTTCAACGAATGAAATATTACAATTGATTAATGGTTTTAAAACTTATGTATTTGTACGTTAGGAAAACTGAGTTGATCTTATCTAAAATAATCTAATAGAGGCATATTTAAGGATACGGTAGTGAATGGCCTCAATTTACTCCGCAGAACTGCAGGAAAAGATATTGCGGATACGGGCAATAGAGTAGATACGGTACAATTTTTTTGGTAGTATATAGAGTGAATAACAGTGGGTTCCTAAGGTAAGGAAAAGCAGCAATTGTTCATTGTCTTAGTCTTATATTTTTTTGAAAAGAGTCTTTGGTTCATCTGATACTATCGTGGTTATCTAATTTACATTTTTAATGCTTCCCAGAATAATATTTGACTTCTTATCAATTGGCCCACTCAAGTATTCGCGTGTTATCATAGCACCTTGTTTTCTCACTTATCTTTGCTTGATATTCTTGTCAATTTCTTACAGTCGTTTATCGAATAACATCGTGAAAAAAAATCCTCCACCAACAGTATGCGATATCACTGAGCCAAAGAATGTCGTCGAAGATGACGGATTATCAAATAAAACTGCCTCAGTGACTTCCTTATCAACATCTTTATCAACAAACAAGACTCAATCTCAAAGTTCTCTGGCAATAAAAACTGAAAATTATCCAAAAGATTTAAATAATGATGAAAACGATCATGAAATCTCAAAACATGAGCAATCAAATAAACCAATATTATCTATTATGAAACATCATGAGCTTCATATAAATAATGACATATCAATGAATCCCAGTTTAGCTTCGGTAAAAATTAACAGGCCGAAAACGATACTTGGTCAAACTAATGTACCAAAAAAATTAACACATAAAGTTTCTTTAAGTTTTGCAGCAAATAACCAACCAGATGCAGCTGACAACAGAATAAATCAGCTGGATACAACTCAATCATCTCCTAGTCAATTCAGTGGACACACTGAAAAAGAAACTTATGTAAAAAACGTTGATAAACCAGCTCGACATTCATTGAGTGAAATATTTAGAGAAGTAACACAAAATACATGTAATCTTAATGATTGCTTTTCTACAGAAACTTCACTAGCTGATCGTGCTCATATTTCTTGCATAGCATTTCTACATTACTTGGTGAGTAAATGTTTCTATATATGTCAAGATTTTGAGCTCAATATCGCTTTTTTAAATTTCTACTCAGTTATTTCTTCTGTAACATCATTTCACATAGTATGTATAGTTTTAGGGAAATTTAAAATACAAAACATAGAACACTTGTACATCATACTGTGTAATTAGGAAAAAACACTAACTGAAAGCGATAAAAGCGTCAGCAAGTTTCGACTAACGGTAAACTGAAGTCATGTACAGAATACTGATACTTAAACAATCTGTGTCTACCAATACACTGTCTTTCCGTACATTTCGAAAAATTGTACAAGTATGGAATAGCTATTTCGGAATAAATATTTGAATTAGAGTAGATAGGTAAATGATGGGAAATGGTTTTGAATTCCTTAGAGTCCATAACATTAGGTAGTTTAGTTTTATTCTTGATATTGAAAATATAACGTACATATTAATTTATTCTGTTAATTTATTATTAAAAATAGGAATGTTACATTTGTTTAAGAAAAAGCTTCTCTGATTTTATCTCTCAATATTAATTTATTTTTCAACTAAATTATGCGATAAAAATAAAATGCTACGGCTACTTGTTACCACACACCAGATCAAAGAATCTCCTAGTTGTAATATTTGCGACACTTGATATCGCAGTAAAAGATAACATTTAATTACAGTAATTAGTTTTTACTTCATTCAAAATCTATATGTCATTCAAAGAATTGACAGACAGTTCCCATTTAAAAATTAAAAACACAAAGTTCAGCGAAGGGATATCTTTTCAACGAATTTATTATCAAGCTATACGATCGTATATATATGAAAAATGCTTTTCTTAATGTACTAGTTCCGTGAGGAAATGCAAACAAGGAATAACGAAGATGATGTAATAGAAAGATTATAATACTAGATCATGTAATACGAATATTAACATTTGACCTAATAAGTTAGTAACGAATTATAACGTCAATGTACTAATATGATAAGAATGTTTTTGTTACAATAATTGTAGGTAATTAAAGGTGATAGAGGTGTGAAATAAACGAAGTGATATCATGAGCAATTATGAATAAAATAATGAGAATATAAGACACAATAAGTAAAGGGAGAAATGCTATAATAAAAATTAAGGCCAATTAAGGTCCACATTACTAGACTGTGGTCATGGCTACATTAATATACAATGTAGTAAGAATAACTTATTAACTATGAATCATTTGTATAAGCTAATGCTCCTGAAAAGAAATAAGGATTTGCTCCTTAGTAAACCTGACAAAGGAGTCGGTGTACTACTACTTGATCGTCAAGAATATTTGGATAAAGTGAGGTTACTCCTAGACGATAATACTAAACTTTCAAAGCCTAAAAGAGAAGTAGACAATGCACCGCGAATTGAAAGACAGCTAACGAATGTTGTTAAAAACCTTAAGAATAAGGGGATAATAACCCCAGACTTATATGATCACATACATTCGGTGGATTTGATCATCCTGCGCTTATATGGATTACCGAAAGTACATAAACCTGTTTACCGTTACGAACTATTTTAGATATGTCAAGTTCACCATACCACCGAGTCGCCTAACGGTTGGCTGAAGAAGTGAAACCATTTAGAAGGCAATTATCTAAATATTCTATTCATGATAATTTTCAATTTACTAATCTTGCTAAAGACGTTAATACTTCCGGAAAGCACATGTTCTCGCTTGACGTTAAGATTTTTTTCACTAGTGTACCTTTAACCGAAACGATATGCCATGTAAGTGACTAAATTGATCCTAACAACATAAATCTATGTCTGCCGACTGGTCACTTGAAAGACCTATTGTTACGTTATACCCTTAGTATACAGTTTAGTTTCAACAGTGAAATATAAAGACAAAGAGATGGGATCGCAACGAGGTCTCCATTGGGTCCAATTTTAGCAGAATACTCTATGGCAAAACTGGAGAACGACCAATTTAGTTCAATGATTAATCGATTTCATCTATACGTAAAATATATGGACGACACATTTGTCATTTGTGACGATAATAGTGAATTAAAAGATATGTCACACTCCTTCAACACATGCCAGCCTTCCATAGACTTCGCGTCAGAAAATGAGCTAGGTTATTCAATCTCTTTTCTCGATGTGCGTCTGGCGGGAAGCAGTGATGGTTCTCTAAGAAGATCCGTTTATAGAAAGCAAACATGAAACGGCCAGCAGACCAACTTCTATAGCCGGGTTCTTTAAAGCAGAAAGAGAAATCGTATTCACTCTTCATATTACCAAACACATTGGATATGTAGTACAGAATGCATTGACGAAGAACTCGCATTTCTCAGAAAAACGCTGACAAAAATGGCTATTCAGACCTCTTCATAGATAAGAATTGTGATGAGGAATCCGGTTGTTCTATTCCAAAGAAAAACCTTCAAGTAGGTTTGGAATATAAAGGTGATCGAACATCTAATGCAATCAAAAATCGTTTAACGACAGAGATAAAAGGAACATTCTATGGGGCAAAACTGCGAATAACGTTCACAAGTACGAACTTATTTTCTGTATCCATAAAAGACAGGCTTCTCCGTCTGGTTGCCTCCATATGCGTCTACCAGTTCATCCGCTCTAGTGGAGCAAGGTACATTGGCCGTAGCCAGCGTTCGCTTTCAACTCGGATACGGAAACATGTCCCAGTGTGATTCTACAAGGTTGAGAGGAAAGCATGTAGGGGTTCCATACCTGAACATCTAATCGACTGTATTCATTCTGCTAATCCACAGTTTGATTTTAAGGTTGTATGTATGATTCGTCTAAATCTATCTAGATTTCTTCGTATCCAACTACTAAAAATAGTCGAAGATCTTACCATTCATGAGCTCAAGCCAGAACTATGCGTAAAAAAGAAGTACATCTTATCGCTACCATGGCCTTAATTTTTATTATAGCATTTCTCCCTTTACTTATTGTGTCTTATATTCTCATTATTTTATTCATAATTGCTCATGATATCACTTCGTTTATTTCACACCTCTATCACCTTTAATTACCTACAATTATTGTAACAAAAACATTCTTATCATATTAGTACATTGACGTTATAATTCGTTACTAACTTATTAGGTCAAATGTTAATATTCGTATTACATGATCTAGTATTATGATATTTCTATTACATCATCTTCGTTATTCCTTGTTTGCATTTCCTCACGGAACTAGTACATTAAGAAAAGCATTTTTCATATATATACGATCGTATAGCTTGATAATAAATTCGTTGAAAAGATATCCCTTCGCTGAACTTTGTGTTTTTAATATTCAAAGAATACATAATAAACATGCATTTTTGTTCACTTGTAGACTTAATTACACTGGGATTATTTAATTGTTAAGTCCAAATACAAAAAATTAGTTATTAATATTTTCGACATTGATTCATTTTTTCAGTTACTTTGTTTTGTTTTGTTTACTACCTCAGTTATCTAGAAGTGATTTGGCTTTAACTACACAAGTTAAACTTTCACAATTTCGATATGTGAATGTACATCATGGTATATTTCGTTTACGATTATTACATTTCTTCATTGTATTTTGTGTAGTAATTACATGCTCAGTACTTATACCTGGGATTGTATTTACATATTTAGAACAGAATTGGACATATTTTGATGCAATTTACTTTTGTATCATATCACTTAGTGCAGTTGGTTTTGGTGATATGGTTGCAAGTGAAAGTAAAGACAGCAGTGCATCATCATTAGTAACGATATTATATGTGAAGAATATTTACAGAATAATGACTGCAAGTGAGTCCTATATATATTTAATTATTCTTTGTATACTTGACTGATATATTTTTTTGCAAACAGATCACATAATATAAAGACCTTGTGTAAAGTGCTACTAAATTTCCCTATTGACCAGAAATGTGTATATTCAAGTTTCAGGAAATTCATATTTCTAATATGGCGACATAAAATAACGTGTCACATTTCATAGTCTTAGTAGTAAAAAAAATAAGTTAGTATATTGTTTACATTTATTAATGTACTTTCCAAGAACATTTTCAAATTAGACTGCTATAGAGCTGAATTCTCAACTAAATGTAGTATTTTTTTATTCTCTTTAGCACCATATTAATTCGTTGTACCACCATATTTATACACAATATGTGATGTTAATATATTTCTCAAAAGTTAATTGGGGAGTCTCCATTGAGATGCAACTATTATTTTAAAGTTGTCTTTTGATTGCATTATATTCTTAATCTCAATACCAAACATATCAATTGAATAGTTTTGCTTCAGTGAAAACGTAAGCAGGTCGTAAATCTACCCCTCTAATGGCTCACTGTTGCCATATAAACGACAACCTCAAAAGTACTTCCAAGTTTAAAGAAATTTAAATTTCACTTATAACCTAAAATTAAGACAGCGGAAGAAACCTACTTCATTATCACGAAAACATAAGCTATTCAGCTAAGGAAATTTTATTCTTAACGATGTCAGCTGTCAAAGATGTACAATCGTATTTATAGGTCACTTTACACACAGCTTCTAATAGCAAAGAGAGGTGTTGCATTATTTACCGAAGCTAATAAAAATCATCGAATGTTGTTGAATACCGAGCAAACGTTCGCTTATGGTTTTTAAGGTGAAGAAACATACTTACAACTGTTACCCCTTTGTGAAGATATATAGGCCTCCCACCAGCATTGTCCATCGAACCGTAGAGAAGTAACATAAAAGCAACTTACGAAGGGAAGACAGCTGTCTATTCTAAGAATCTAAAAAGGATACAGGATCAAACATCAAGGGGAAACCACAATCTTTAAAATTAGGATTGTCAGGAACATCATAAAGTTAAGAATTGCCTATTTGTGTCTTGTATACTAAAGCAAATTCAAGTCGGTGAACAAAGTTATGATCCGAACTCCTGTTAATCCAGTTTTTTTTTAAAACGCTCTTATAAAACAATTCCAGTAGAGTTACGTGACCAAAGTTAACTATGTGTTCAATAATTCAATCATTAACTGGTTGATAACCACTCCAGATAGTGCCAGGACACGCGGTCATAAAGTTCACGCTTTTGCAATCAATATAACCTACTACCTAAGAACAAATAAAATGACAAATAAACACTATATTCACTCAAAGTCGCAGTTTATCCTTAATACTACACCCCCGACCAAACATCTATTCGAGTGACAAATTCAGAGCTCAGCAAAATAAAAATTATTTCATTGCATCTTGATGGCTGGTTTTCAGAATTTTTGCTGCTGGGCGCTGTTCGAATTCAATATTCATGAACAAAATCTATTTCCGTATCGTAAGAGCTTTCCCAAATTGAAGTTTTGATTTCAAATTACGTTTGATGAACCTGTGGGGCCTACTAATATCCATAAATATTTGCTGAATTTAATCAATCAATTATTGATTTTCGCTTTCATAGCTTTGTAGATAAAGTGCGCAATTAACACATTCTAAAAATATGTATGTTCAACTGGACTTTAGGTAAAATATATTTCTATCGGAAAGTTTCGATTTCTACATTTAGAGGTTTTATATTAATATATTACTAGCTATATTCAACATCTACCTATTGTATATTTCTATGTGCAAATATCCAAACCAAAAAGTCACGAAAGTTTTGCATATTGAAACTCGATTATAGATATTAATATGGTGAAGACTTGATTAATTATTGAATCGTTTAAAAATCCGTAAATCAAGTAATCTTAACTTATTCATTGAGTAGATTGCAACCTAGAGACACTGAGTTCCATCCTATTTAGAGTGATAGATCATTACTTTCGGGTCATTCCAAAACAGAACAAGCAGAAATTCGGTGCTTCTATATTTTTAATATCTTTCAGTGGATACTTATTCTTGATAAACGTTATTCTAGAGTAATACGTTATTTTAAAAACTTTTCATTTCACTCATAATTTGATAGTCGGAATAAACACCCAATTCATCGTAAAGCAATGTATTATGTTTAGATAGTATTAACTAAGTGGTATGGAGTGCAACTATCATCCAATTCCTCTGGTAATGAATATTTCGGTCGGTCCAACATTTTTTCCAATTTACTTAGGTTGGAAACATACATTACTGGATTTTAATACAGTAGTTAAGCGATATCCGCGAGACAGGGAGGTTTTGAGTTCGGTTTTTGGTAGGATCATGAGAGCATACTTTGTTTGAACCCCACAATTAGACAAAAGATCTCTCGATTGCTTATGTTGATCCGTGACAATTGTTATTTACAAACTACAATATTTTATAAAAAACTTTATTTCTTTGGTTATATTTGTTTCCTCAGTTGCTGTTAGTTCAAGTCGAAAAGTACCATAAAATAAATCCTGTACTTGAAATCAGCAACTGATATAACAAAGTTCAATGAAAAAAACATAGCCTACTATATCAAATAATAACCTTTATTTTAATTACAAATAACATTTTTACTTACTCTTTTATTTCTAGTTTATTTAGTGTTGGGAACCACATTAATTGCCGTTCTAGTGAGAAGTTTCCAAGAGATTATTGACTATGAATTTTCAAATGTAACAGGAGGATACTTCGACGAAAAATTTAGTGAACACATGGCACATGATTCATGTTTAGAATTACTTTTTGACGATACTACACCTTCACAAAATTGTAGAAATCAATTAAATCATAGAGATATGGGTTGAGAAGGTATTCTGTATTCCGATTACAAATAATATACAGTTACCTTACATTTTCATGATGTATATGACACCATACTTCTTTCTAGGTAATTTAAACTAAACAACTGTTATTTTTTAATCCACACACTTTTTCATAATCCTCCGGCAGTATACCTATTAGATGGAATCCAATAAACCGATCAAATGATGTATATTGTCACCTGTAATTTTACCACCCATATGACACTAAATATATCATATGATTGCTGCCGTCATCATTTTAACACTCGTTTTTATTTGCTACAAAAATGATAGATTTGGCATTTTCTTTATAAATTCGTCGTAATTACTAAACTGAAGTATTGTTCTGTGGCTTGATAATGCCCTTAACCTCTAACTATTTTTTAGTCAATCATTCATTTTGCATGTTGTTGGGCCATCTACTATAAATGTTCACAAAATTATTGAAAGGTTATCTACTAAAGAAGCTGATTTATCATAACGAAATTTGAAAGCTCAAATGTGAACATGAATTACAATAATTGCTTTATTCAGTATTAAATGTTTAGTACGGTAAAGTATATTGGAGATAAAGTACTTCAAAATGTAAATTTTAATGTAAACTGACACTGCAGAAAATATGTACATAAGCAAGTTATAAATAATAAAATGTACAGTTAAAAATAACATACATTTATTTTCAAACACTAATTATTTGAGATAATGCAATTGCTACACTTTTTCCTCACAGATGGAGGAATTTTAAAAATTTCCGTATTTTTCTCGCGCATAGGATTCTCATGTCTTTGTATCTTGTTCTTCTAGTTATTAGACGATGAAAAGGTTGTAAGGCCAGCGTATATATTGTTTTTGATAAAAGATACTTGTTTGTTGTCCGCGAAATTTCAAATGACTTCTCATAGCCACATTCATAATCATGCCGGCTAGTGCAATAAAATTACCATTCAACCGCTTATGCAACATATAATTTGTCTGGAATGTTTAGCAACGTCTGGAGATAAGTAGAATAATGACAGGTCGTAACCAAAAAGGTGGTGAGAATCTTTTTACATCACCAACAAGTCATTTAATCGGTACAGCCACGAAACATCTGTTATGAACAATTTCCAATAAACACTACATATACATTCAGCAGTTTACAGTAATAAATATTTCTCGATTTACGCATATTTTGGTTTTGGGTAAAATCAAGCATTTAATACATTTTAAAGTTTTCTTTGGTTTAGATAGCAGTCAGTTATGGCATTAGTGATCACCAACGTAGATGATCTGTGTCAAATGATTGGGGGCCTGCTAGAGTTAGACGGGAATGGTGTGACGAACTAGCTAATGTCGAAGTCACACCTCACGATCAGCACCTTACGTGGATTGTCCCATCGACGCATCAAGATATTATAGATGCTTTGAAGACTGTACAACACAAAGGACGTTATTACAGAACGATATTAGTTTAAGTAGATACAAGCGAAAGTAAGACCACCGCCTCATGGGCCAGACCATGGCGTACGATTAAGTGATGCGTGTTGGTTCTCCCTCATGAGGATCGATGATTTGTTCGATATTCAGTGACCCAACTGCCGGATAATTTGGCTAGGGCTCAATGACATTTCGCTGGCCCTACAGCACTTATGAAACACATTTTCCCTATTTAAAACTTGGTAAACAAATGTACCAACAAAATTTCTCCCTAGCCTAGAGGTCATATAGCTGATGAACACAGCTCAAAAACTCTTCATTGACAAAGAATGTGCTACAAGAGACACAGGATAGCCAATTTAAGTTCCGGACTTGCCGAAACCATGATGACAGATTTCCAAACTGGGGTGATGCTGAAATAATTGACTTGATAAAGACCTAAGGGAAACATTTATCTGCCATGCGAAAGTATTTTTCGGATACTAGGCCCATGGTTAAGCTTAATCTCCAGATATGTCTTTATGAGCACACTGCAACACAGGAAATTCCTAACCAGGATCTAATGTTGATAAAAGGGTAGACATTTTAAAATCAACTTAACTATGGTAAAGCGCGTGACTAACCAAAAGCTCTTTTAGAGAGTTAGTGAAAAAAGCAAAGACGAAGACCAAGTAAAAATCGGTCACCTGGTGAGAAATCTAAATAAATAATTGCGTAAAGTAATCTCAGTTTGCCGAGTCTAATCCCTCAAATAAGCCAGTCATTTACCATAAACTAAAAGTGACTTCTGATAAGAAAGCATCATCTAGATTTTTTCATGACATAAGTCCATAATATTCAAGCTACTCCAGGAAATACTACGAGTTTAGATCAATAAACGTTACGAAACACATCAGTTAGTTTCTGAACGTCTGTAGTTGGGTCGTCTATTAAAATGACTTTAATCTCAACTATCCGTTAACTGGGCTTGTTTTAGGCTTAGAGTCGCCAGTGAACTATTTTAATCACAAACTGTTTACAACCGTATTCTGCTTTTTTATGGTCCATCATTAGGTATATTCTATCCAATACTAGGAGCAACACTATTCAAATTCTCTTGACTCTATCCCTCGTTGACACAGACGATGTTGATAAACATAGGCACTTCCCACTAACAGAAGGTATTAACTACATCTCCATTATATGTAAGTTAAATTCCGCTACTGTTTAAAATGCAGAAATCAGAACGAATAGCAAGCAAATATACTGGATGCTGAAAATTCGTTTGTAGAGAATCGGTTGAAGAAATATGGATTTACTAGCAGAAGTAACGTAACCTGGTAACTCAATTCCACATATGTTGACTCTGATGGGCAAAGCTTCAGTGACTTGAGACGCTCTTCATAAGACTTGAATTCGAGTCCCAAATTGATTTCGTGGCTCGCACATAGATACGTCCCAATGTATCAATATCCTTCAGAGTGCGAACGGAAACACTATGTTTGTGTACTCTGGATGAAGTGGCATAAAACTGTTGAAGATTCGATGGAAAGTTCCACCGTCAAACTGGGCGTAAATGCAAAGGTCGCTCGAAAAGCCATTTTGTCGCAGTCAGCGTAAGACTTCAGTTCATAGGTTACCAACACTCCTAGATTTCATTCTGCTTGGAATGCTTGTAATGTTAGTCTGCAACGTGTCTCGCGTGGACTGTATTGCACTTTGAAGTGTTGGAAGCAACTTCGTTGTTGTCTGCCCACCTTTAATGTCCAGTCAGTTCTCTTGAATTGTCGGTTTATTATCTTGGTTCAGAGTTTCATCATCAGCGAAAAGCAATAAATCAGATGATACTTGCTTGACAACGTCAAAATAGTTCACTGTTCATTGTGATCAATCACTAAACGTTGTTTTGTCTGCTGCAGCCTTGAAACAGGATTGCAGTACAATGAATTTGATTGTTATCAGAATGGGTTTTGTGGAGATATTTAGAAACTTCACAAGTTGAAATCATGAGTCAATTGAAGCTAGACCATCATGGAAAACCTGGAAGCACTGGACAGCCGTTTCGTCCCAGTATGGGACTCCTCAGAAGTGCTCATCTAGTAGAGTTCAACGAAGTCTGTTGTAAGATAATAACTCACTGAAGACAATGGTGTACGGTAGCGCAACTTCGTGGATTGGTTGAAGTTAGACATTAACACCGTTGGTCTAATGTTTAAGTGCTCGCGCGCAAAGCCAGTAGGTCCTTGGTTCGAATCCCGCTGGGTTCGGGATCGTGGATGCACACTGCTGGGGAGTCCCATACTAGGACGAAACGGCCGTCCAGTGCTTCCAGGATTTCCATGGTGGTCTAGCTTCAAGTGACTCATGATTTCAACCTATGGAGTTCGATTGTGTTCACCGAGTTCTAGCTACCTCTATTGATACCAAGACCAAAACACTATAAAAAGGTCACAAGACACAGGTTAGATTATTGTGGCGGTAAATGAATCCCCAAAATAAATAGCCCTGTAAGTTTTAAACATTGGATGCTGACCATATGTTTTAGTGGACTCATCTAGCTGAAGGCGCTCGGTCATGCATCCATACCAGATCACGAGTGGAACGCCGTGCTCAACATCTACTGCAATCACTAGCCAGATTAGATCACAGAATTCCGATATATTGGTTATCGCCAAATACACTCTTCCGATCTCCTCGACTCTGCCTTTTGATTTCTCTTGGTGGGTACGAATTATATTAAGTGTTGCTGGTAAAAGCGTTGTCAAACACTGAATACCTGTTCCATCTTCATTATTAATCGGATAATTCCGAAAGAGCGAGAAGCACAACTGCTCAACTGCTTCATGTACTAAGTATCTTACCAAAAAAACAAAATGAGAACTTTGTCTTTTTTTACATTGTACTGCTATACATAGTTAGATGAAGACATTATACTTCCCCTGTGCAGCTGAATTTTAGTCCCGAAAATAAACGTTCTGTAAGTCTTCAACATTGGTGTCGACTTCACTATTTTTACTAGACTCATGCAACCTGAAGACGCTTGGTTAAGTACGCACATCTGATCATCATTTAGTACACAGGGCTGCATGTTCGTCATAGCAACTAGTCATCTCGAACCACATATTTCACAACGAATCGACTATCTTCCACACGCTGAACTTTTTCATTCCAGACTTCTAGTGTGAATGGGTTTCAGATCGTCATTTACATTAGTTTTAAGGACATCATACAAAATCTTTTAATTTATATTTTTATCTATTTTAATATTTTGATATTTTTGGATAATTTTTGTTTATTGGTATATTTTAAAAGCATCATGGCGAAACAGACATCTAAGTTTCTTAAGATTAAACCTATTTCGATTCCCCCTTGTCAGCCAATACCATTCTAGTTTCACAATAAAGAAGCATGGTTCTGCTACGTAGAATGTGAGTTCCATGAGTATGATGTGAGAGATTCACATGTACAATTCTTCGCAGTATTGAAAGCACTATCACGCTATTTCAATAGGTACGCCACACCTAGTATGTTTACCAGTAGTGTTTCGGAAACTTAGAGCACTTTAAAAGGGGCTATTCTAAAATGTAGATACCCAACCGACCGAGGAAAATTAGACCAACTTTTACACAACGTGAAGCTCCAATGTGTCATAGCAACAAAAATGTTGCGACGAAAACGAGAGGTCATTGGTCAATGAACCTTTGACGATGACCTGGTTAAACAGCTCTTCTAATCTAAATATCCCCAATACGTGCAAACAGTCTCGTTTCAAAACAACGATATAGACGAGCTGGATGCATCTGCCGATCAAATATTAAAGATCACCAGAGCTTCTAACGCCGAGGTTTTTTCAGTAAATGAAAAACCCTATACAACAAGAAATGACGTAACAAACTTTTTCATACTCTAAACGTGGACGATCCCGGACTCCTCGAGGGAGTAGTTCAATAAATTGGTCTGTCTCTAGATCACACGAGGCAGATAATCCTGATTTGTGATGGTACTATAAAAAGTGTGGAAAATCTCTGAAATTTGGAAAACTTCAGTTTCCCGTGCCTTAAACCTACTAACTTGAAAAACGATTCGGGATACTTCTCAGGTGCACACAGTGGCAATCGTAGTCGACGAATACAGTCGTCTCTTATATAATACTGGTGTGATTATGAATGCTCGCAACCTCGGCGACACTGACTCAGAAGTTAGAGTTTGTCTTACAAATCTTAACAACGGACTGCATGAGTCAGTTTTCAACTTACTGATCGCCACATACAATGTGTATCTCAACGTAATCTGACTCGAACGCATCCGCTTAATTTTTGCT